GGCACTCTACCCAGGGGGACAGCTTGAGGCTCTGTCTCAAAAAAAAAAAAAAAAAGAATAAGTGCTGCTCACTGCAGTGGCTCAGGCCTGTAACCTAGCACTCTGGGAGACTGAAACAAGTGGATCACTTGAGCTCGTGTATTGGAAACCCAGCCTGAGCAAGAGTAAGACCCCTGTCTACTAAAAATAGAAAAATTAGCCAGGCGTGGTGTTGCACGCCTATAGTCCTAGCTACTTGGGAGGCTGAGACAAAAGGATTACTTGCGCCCAAAAGTTGGAGATTGCTGTAAGCTATGATACCATGACACTCTAGCCTGGGGCAACAGAGTGAGACTCTGAGGTTTAAAAAAGAAGTGCTCATTAATTTGATCCCAAATATCATGTGATCGTTTCCATTACCCCCTTGACTAATACTAAGAGTAAAGGTTGCTATAACTTTGTGGGATGAATGTGGAATGACACTGATGACATGGATACTGTTTTTTTCAGGATTTCTTGGTGTTTCTGTGGAGCCAGTGAACCTTACCCCTTACTGGGCTGCAGGATCCTTTGCATACAGATACCCCTCCAGCTTTGGAAGGTGGGCTGAGGCCCAGGGTGAACATGCCAGCTAATGGAAAATCACCCCAGAGATTCTCTGCCCTGATTCCAGGAAATTCTGGCAGATCATTTCAGGTAAGGAGGAAGAGCCTATTTTTTAAAAAAAATTTTTTTAGTTTCAGACAATTGTAGATTCAAATTCAATGTATGGTTTACCTAGTTTTCCCCAAAGGTAGAATCTTAATAAACCTTGGTACCAGGCCACAACCAGGAAATTCACATACAGAACATTTCTCTCACTGCAAGGATCGCTCGTGTCATTCACACTCCTCCATTCCTTCCTTAACCCTAGGCAAGCACTAAGTTGTTCTCCAGTACTATAATTTTGTCATTTCAAAAGTGTTGTATAAATAGAATCATAAACATCTTTGGGGACTGGTTTTTTAAATTCAGCATAATTCTCTGGAGATATCAATCCAGGTAGTTAGTGGTCCATCAAGTAGTTCCTTCCTGCTTCGGCTGAGTAGTAGTCCATGGTGTGGATGTACCACAATTTAACCTGCACTAATTGAAGGACATCTCAGTTTTTTCTAGAGTTTGGTTATTATAAATAAAGATGATATGGTTATCTGTAGGTAGCACTTTTTCTAGGATGAGTTCTTGAACTTAATTGTCTGACCTCATACAATTCCTAAAATCCTTAGATTCTCAAAAGTACAGCCATAAATGTCTTTAAGTTTTTATTTACTTTTTTTTTTTTTTGAGGCAGAGTCTCTGTCCCTCGGTAGAGTGCTATGGCATCATAGCTCACAGCAACCTCAAACTCCTGGGCTCAAACGATTCTCTTTCCTCAGCCTCCCAAGTAGCTGGGACTACAGGTGACGCCACTATGCCAGGCTGTTATTAGAGATGAGGTCTCGCTCTTCCTCAGGCTGGTCTCAAACCTGTGAGCTCAGGCAATCCACCTGCTCGGCCTCCCAAGTACTGGGATAATAGGCGTGAGCCTCTGCACCCAGCCCTATAAATGTCTTTCTGTATGTGAATGACTTGCTGGCTGTAGCTTCAGGATGGGACTGTTGACCTGAAAGAAGGAGGCATGATTAGAAGATTGGGACTTTCAGCCCATCCCTCAACCTCAGGGGAGGGGAGAGGGGACTGAAGGTTAAATTGACCACCAGTGGCCAAAGATTTCATCAATCATGCCTACATAAGGAAGCTTCCATAAAAACCCAAAAGACCAGAGTTCAGAGAGCTTTCCAGATGGCTGAACAGGTAGGGATTCCTGAGTGGTGGCACACCTGGAGAGGGCATGGAAGCTCCACGCCCCTTCCCAGGTGCCTCCCCTAGTGTATTTCTTCATCTAGCTGTTCATTTGTGTTCTTTTTTTTTTTTTGAGACGGAGCCTCAAGCTGTCCCCCTGGGTAGAGTGCCATGACATCACGCTCACAGCAACCTCCAACTCCTGGACTCAAGCAAGTCTCCTGCCTCAGCCTCCCAAGTAACTGGGACCACAGGCGCCCGCCACAACGCCCGGCCATTTTTTTTTTCTTTTTGGTTGCAGCCATCATTGTTGTTTGGCGGGCCCGGGCTGGGGATTCGAACCCACCACCTTAGGTGTATGTGGCTGGCGCCTTAGCCGCTTGAGCCACAGGCGCCGAGCCCATTTGTGTTCTTTAAAATATCCTTTCTAATGAACCCGTGAACATAAGTCAGTGTTTGTTTTCTTGAGTTCTGTGAGTCACTCTAGCGAATTAATCAAACTTGAGGAGGGGTTTGTGGGAATTCTGGTTTATAGCTGGTCCATCAGAAGTTCCAGAGGCCTGGAACTTGCGTCTGAAGTGGGGACAGTCTTGGGGACTGAGACCTCACCCTGTAGGACCCCATGAGATGAGGTCTCGCTCTTGCTCAGGCTGGTCTCCAGGCAGATGTGTCAGAATGGAATGGAATTAGAGGAAACCTGGCTGTTGTCTGCCGCGGAAGTGATTGCTTTCTGGATATGTGGGAAAATCCCTCACCCATCTACTGTCCTACGTTGGTTGTGAGAGCATAGTAGGAAAAACTGAGACTGCTTTTCTACTCTACACAATGGGGATAATGCATATGAGTGCAGTTGCTGGATTGTATGCTAAATGCATTTAGAACAGAATTAATAGACTTAATGTTTTTTTTTTCTGAGACAGAGTCTCACTCTGTCACCCTCGGTAGAGTGCCATGGCATTATCATAGCTCACAGCAACCTCAAACTTTTGGGCTCATGAGATCCTCTTGCCTCAGCCTCCCAAGTAGCTGGGATTACAGGTGCCTGCCACTATGCCCACCTACTTTTTCTGTTTTTAGTAGACATGTGGTCTCACTTTTGCTCAGAACTCCTGAGCTCAAGTAATCCACCCACCTCAGCCTCCCAGAGCCCTAAGAGTACAGGCATGAGCCACCCTGCCTGTCTTGATTTTCCTCATGTACATCTTACACATTTTTTGTTAGATTTATGTATAAATATTTTGTTTTGCTGATGCCAAGGTTGATGGTATTGAGTTTTTCTTTTCAAATACCATTTGTTCATTGCTGGTATATAGGAAAACAATTGACTTTTGTTTATTAGTCTTGTATCCTGCAGCCTTACTATAATCAGTTAATAGTTTAATAGTGTCAAGACCTTTCCACTTTAATGGATTATGAGAGTAACTAATTTAAGTACAGTATGCAACAGACTGGAAGAGCATGTTTGGGTTGATACAGGACCCACAGCTTACCATAGAACAATCACAGGTGGCCATACCTGATCCAGAAACACAAGAACACAAGAAGTTATTCGTGAGGGTAGAACCACTGTAAAGTATGTTTACCTTGAGTATGGTATTGTCTGACTCCCCCTATAAATGCCAAATGGAGCACTCCAGATGAAGCAACTCATGCTTAATTGAAACTACCATTATACACTGATGAAGGGGCACAAGGCAAGGACTAGAGTAAGGGCTGGGCAAGGTGGCTCACGCCTATAATCCTAGCACTCTGGGAAGCCAAGGCAAGTGGATTTCCTGAGTTCAGGAGTTCGAGACCAGCCTGAGTAAGAGTGAGACCAGGTCTCTACCAAAAATAGGGAAACTAGCCAGGCACTGTGGCAGGTGCCTGCAGTCCCAGCTGCTCCGGAGGCTGAGGCAAGAGGATCACTTGAGCCCAAGAGTTTGAGGTTGGCTCGGCGCCTGTGGCTCAAGCGGCTAGGGTGCCAGCCACATACACCTAAGATGGCGGGTTCGAATCCCCAGCCCGGGCCTGCCAAACAACAATGATGGCTGCAACCAAAAAATGGCC